GGATTCTTTGTCAGTGGACATGCAGCAGTGGAAAGCTCCTTCTGCCCATTCTCCCTCTAAGGATGGTGAGCAAGGTTTTGCAATGTAAATACACTCCCAAGGATGGTAAAGGATAGTTTATTAGTGATCTCCTCTTCCAGCCTCCAAGAATGGAAGAGAGGAAGGGTGGAATGGAGTATCTAAGGAAATATTGCCAAATTTCGGTGGGGTGTTTCTGGGAGGAAATTAAGGGAGTAGTTACCTATGAGGATGTTTAAGTAATATAGAGAGCATATTTTGGAGTATGCAGGTGTTCAGAGCATTAACAGACTTTTTGGAGGGGCATCTCTGGCTATTAAAGGTGGTGTTGGAGTATGTAAAAGGAGATATTACATATTACATACATGGATATGTCTATGTAAATGTATGTACACATGTATGTGTGTTGTGGGTAGGATGTTTCTGGCTTCTGGGGGGAGGGGAAGAGTATTTTGGAAGCATTCAAAGGCAGTAATAGAGGGTATTTACGGAAGCATTTGGGCATAGAAGTTAAGGTTCATTGCAAAGAAGGATAGGTCTTTGCTACCGAGGACAGCGCAAAGTTCCGGACTTATCGTTAGGCTCCTACGACAAGCACTAAGGGAGAGAATGGGACAGAAGGCTGCGGACCTCCCAGTTCCAGGCTTGAGCTGTGGGTTTCAGGGAGTTAGTGGAGGAAATCCAAGTGTAGGAGGAAAGACCAAGGCCTGGGTTAGAGAGGACAAATGAAGAGTGATTATAAAGGGTAAGTGAGTGAAGCCTTTAGGTAGTCTCACAGGTTCCCCTATTTTTCTTCACTCCCACCTCAGTTCCCCTCACGTTTTAATTTTTGTTCCCTTCCCCTTTCTTTTCTTCTGCCTCCACGATGGGAGCTCAGCAAGAGCTAAAAATGAGTGAGATACAGGCTGGCCCTTCCCAAAGGGAAGCTGCCAGAGGACTGAACCTCGTGGAGGGAGGAACAAAGATACCTAGGACATGCGACGGGCCGGAGGGATAGCTCCGCTCCTCCTAGCCTGAGCCGGGGGTTGGAAAAAGGCACTGGGCCTCAGATGCTCGTTAGCCCAGCCTTGTCTTCAACGTGACAAGCCGAGGGTTAGGGTTTTTTTGTGGGTCTTTTTTTTTTTTTTTTTTTTTGTTATGGTAGGGAGACCTACAAGACCTAGCCGCGCCGCTCGCTGCCTGCCCCTCAGCCAGGACCTCATCATTTGCAATTTCCAAAACCTTCGCGGGGTGTCGGGTGGGGTGTGTGCATAAACATAAAATGAATTGGACATCTACACTTATCCAAGCAATCGTTTTCTTGCCCAAGCTCGGTCTAGTGGAAAGCTGGGTAACGCAGGGCCTCAGAGTAGCAAGCAGAATCCGCCGAACCTAGTGACAATTTTTAACATAAAACCCGCCGTCTATGGGGCTGGGAGTGGGAGAAGGATTCACAATTCCTCAACCCCAAATGTCAGAGCCAACGCTTCAATGATTCTGGCCGACGTTCTCTGCCTCCGGAAAAAAATAGGATGAGTCCACGGGAGCCCTGGTCCTGAAAGAAGGGGTTAAGAAGGGGGAGAACCTCCTGGGGTTTGAGCCAAGGGCTTCGATTTTAGAACTGTGGTCCCCAGTAATGTCTTTCTCTGGCGCTAAGATTGAGGCGCGCGGGTGTGGACGAGGCGCATTATTATACAGGAAATGAATAGTGGGGATGAATAGTGGGAGGAAAGGGAGCGGAGAGTAGGGCAAGACACCCCCCGCCTCCATTCTTCATCCCTAAGGAAGTCTAACAGGGGATTTCGACTCCCCCTTCCTTCACCTTGCCCAGTCTCCCAGACATGGACTCTGTTATTCAGCGGACAAGACGGGGATGATGTTAAAGAGATGCTGCGCTCCCACCCCCACCCCCCACCTTTGTGTGCTTGTGTTTAGAGCAGTGGATTATCCGAAGGGCGGGAAAGACCAGGCCTAAGGGGAGGGGGAGTGGCCCTGTGCCCTTACTGACCCTTGGTGTGGTGCAGAGGGCCGGGAGCCATAGGAGAGTGTGTGAAATGAGCCAGTTCTTCCGGAACTGGAGTCAACTGTCCATCCCTGCGTCCTATTTCTGTCTGGAGAGGCCCAGGCAGGCCCTGGCTTGGGCACCAACGTTTAGGCACATTATTAGTAGCTTTAACATTTGGAGGTGACGGGAAAACAGACGTGCTGGGGCCGAGGTGGCGTCTGAGGTCTTGGCTTCTCTGTTCCAGAAAGTGAATTATAGCCTCTCTTCACTACCCTCCCCGTAGGCTTGCCTTAGATTTTAACTCAGGAATCAGAAGAAAAGGGGGAGAGAAACACAACAGAGCTGGGCCTTTGAGTTGGGTATTACGTTTAGAACTCGTAGAGGACAGGGGCCAGTACCCATTCCAAAGTCGGAGGCCAGGCTCCCTATTCCGCTAGCCATCAACCAGTTTAGCTCCAGAGAACCTCCCCCACCCCAAGATTTCCCGACTAGGTCTCTCCCCACTCTTTATTAAATCCAAATTCCTCATATCCCTCTTTCTCCAGTGCTTGTCATTAAAAACAGATGTGAGAAGCTCAGTCAGGGACCAAAGGATGGGGGGTGGGGCTGGCGGAGCTTTTCACTACTGTTTGGGTGCTCCCTAAACCTGCAGATCCTGATTTCCTTAGATTGGGGTGTGTGTTGGGGGGATGGGGGTGGAGTGGTGTTTAGCAAAGTCAACAGGCGAACAGTTCTGTTCTGTTGGTGGGAAATGGGGGGGGGCTGTGATAGTAGAAGAAAGGCTATCTGAATAAAAATTCATCTTTTCCTGTTTCCCTCTTTTTATCCAGTACTGTCAAGATCTTACATCAAATACCATGAATCCAAATTGTAGGACTTACAAAAATACAGGGAGGGTTGGAGATCCATTGTACAATCAACCGTTTTGATTTGGAGGTGAGGAATGGGTTTTCTTGGGAGTGGAATAAGATAATGAGAGACCGAATCTTCATCTCCTCCAACCCCTCTGTAAAGCCCAGTTCCCACCCCTCAACTCAATTCTGCACTCCTTGGTCCAGAACGCTGCAGGGGAGAGGGGCGGAGAAGGGAAAAGAGGGAGTGGTGACGTCAGACCGAATGAAGCCAATCCGAGGCCAACCTCGAGAGGGAGTGTGAAAGGATGAATGAAAAGTCGCGAGCCCAGAGCGCGCCGGGCACAGAAGCTGCGAGCAGAGAGGCAAGGCAAGGGGATTGAGGGACTGCAGGGGGTTGGGAATCAACGCTCCCCTTCCTGAGTCTTATACACCTCTCCTAGGCTTCGGACACTCTCTGCGACCCCCGAGCCCTCGAATTACGTGCGCGGTGTTGGGGGTGGGGCGTAGAGAAGGAGGGTTGGAGAACCGGACGCTGCAGAAGAGAAGCCATCAACAGGAGAGGGAGCACAGAGTAAGTGATCTTTCCGGGCGCAGGGTGGACTCGGGGGACAGACTGGGGGAGGGAGGCCAGAGGTGGGAAACCTGTCTGGCCCCGGCGGCCCTCTGATCCACGAAACTATCAATCCCATCCAACTCCTCTTTATTTAGGTCCTTGTGTCCCGCAACTGTCCACACGTGTTTTTAGTGAGGGGTTGCAGTTACCTAGATGAAACCCTCCGTCTTTCCGATTCTCTTGCTCCCCTGGAGGCGAGGTCCTTATTCCCCACGATTTCTGCAGCTGCCTCTCACCTCTTAGTTTAGTGCGGGATCTTTTCGGCCTTCGGCCCATTCCTGTCTTCCCCGACCTCATCTCCATCTCCATCATCCCAATCATCCCGGTTCCGATAATTACTATTTCCCTGTCTTCATCTCCATTTCCCTTCTACTCCTTCTTCCGCACTGTATTGTTATTCCTGCTGTTGCCATTCAAACAAACAAATATTTATTATAGACTTACTACAAGCAAGACTTATGGCAGATAACATTCTCATCCTCGTCCCCACTATCCTTATTCCCGTCCCCACCCCTATCATTCCTAACCCCAGGATCTCCAGTGTCGGCCCTGTCCCCACCATCTCAGTCATCATCATATCCATACCCGTTTCCATTCCCGACTCTTTGACCTCTCGGGACTGCCTCTGCCTCGCTGGGATTCACAATCTCCCTCTGATTCTTCTGCATGTGTGAGGAGCGGGTGTAAGCAATCCCTGGTGTTTATTCTCTCCTCCAGGCTTCGCTGCTCCTCGGCTTTAGGGCTCAACTCAGAATCGGAATTCCCGCCTCATTGGGCCAATGGTACGACACTGGGTCCTCACTAGGTCTGAAATCTTGGTCTCCGCTTCTGACCGAGGCAAAGGTGCAGGTTTCCAGGGCCACCCCTTTTTTTCAGGGGAGAAGGAGAGGAAGGAGCCGGCACAGTGGGGACCTCTCCGTCGTGAGTCCTTCTTCATTCAGCCTGCCTGATAAATCGAAATTCCAAGCCAGCACTCGTGAGCTCCCCGCTTCTTCACGCCAGGTTCATTCCTGGTTCGGGATTGAGATAGAAACATAGGCTCAGGAGCTGAAAGGGGCCTTTGAGATCCTCCAGTTCAAACCATTATTTTTACAGAAGAGGAAACTGGGATTGGGGATGAGAGAGTGGACGGAGGGCTGCGAGATGGAGCAGAGCTGAGTAGGGCTTTGTCATATCTCTTGTTCCCCTATCACCCCCCCTTCCTATTCCCCCCCCCCCCACCTACCCACTCAGGGCCGGGAACCATCAGAACCGGGAGAATGCCCGGAAGTAGTGGTGGCGGTGGAGCCCAGGGGTCTGCTTGGAGGTGGCGGTGGCGGTGGCGTTGACAGCGGCTGCAGCCGGGAGGCGGGGTTGGTTGTTATCTTTGGTTATCTAGCTGTATGAGTGGTGTCGAGTCTTCATAAAGCTAGATAACCGAAAGTAAAAATAACCCCATACACTGCGGAGCACGAGCCTGAGGGAAGGCGGGCCGGAGCTAGGCGCCCCCGGGCTGATGCGGGGGGGGGGGAGGGAAGGGACGGAGGGGAGGGAAGCCGAAGGAAGAGCCAAGAGACGAAAAAGGAAAATCAGAAGGAAAAGAAGAGGAGGAAAAGACGTCTTGCTTCTAGTGGGACTTCCGAGATGGCAGCCACCCAGTCCCCCCCCTCCCCATCTCCAAGGTAGGAGTTATTCCCTCTCCTTGTCACCCTTGTCTCTACAGTCTTCCAGAATTTTGACTCTCTCTGTATCTTGTGGAAGAGCCATTCTGGTCAACCTCCCTTCTTCCTGTAGTTTGTCCCATTCGACCCTGCTGCTACTGCAGCAAGCTCTTTTCACACTGAGAAGATGAGAAAATATCTTCATTGATGTATTGAAAAGAGCCCTGGCCTGGGAGTCAGGAGTCAAGGTTTTCATCTCTGGCTATACAGATAGCTGTGTGGGCTCAGGAAAATTATTTCCCCACCCTGGGCCTCAATGTCCTCAACTGTAAAATGAGAACACTAGAATAGAGATTCTGTTTCTCTTCCTGTTGTAGCATTCTAAAGGTATTTATTCTAAGGTATTTCCAGCTCTGACAGTCTAAATCTCCATTCTTATAATCCCAAGGAGATCCCAGTAAGGGTTTACTTTATTCAAACAGCAGTTTTTGAGGTCAGCCCTTTTCTACCTCCAGGCTGCTATTTCCTAGCTCTAGTTGTTGTCCCCAAAGTGGCAGGCTTCCCAGAACTGGGGCTCCAAATAATGTCCCCCAAATTCCAAACAACTCAGGCTCCTGAAAAGACAGAAATGGGGACCCAGTGAGGTCAAGATGTACTTCAATAGGATTGGGAGGGAAAATAGTCTTTGCTTTGTTCCTTAGCTAGGTAGACATCCACTCTGTGAAAGAGTGAATGCAAAAAGGGAGAATGATTGGTGGATGGTTAATCGAGGGAGGGTCATTGAATATCTGAAGTTGTTTTTTTCCCCCTCAGTCTTCCAGCAAGGTGGATGAATGGTCAAAGAAGATATATAGGTTTGTGGAGGCTGGAAGGAATCTTAGAAATCATCTCATCCAACCTTCTCATTTTACAAATAAGGAAACTGAGGTTTAGAGAGACGAAGTGTCTTGCCCAAGATCACAAAGCTAGTTAGTGGCAGGGCTAGGTCAAACCCAAGACTTCTGATTTCAAGTTCAGTGTTCTTTCCATTACATCACATTTCCTTTTGTTTTGTGGTGTCTCCTGGAGGCAGGTCTATGGGAGAATGGGAACTGTGCTCCTTCTCCATCTCAGGTCCCCAGCCTTTTCCCAAGTCAATATCTCAAAAACACTGTCCAGACTGTGGCCTGAAATCTGCTATCAAAACACCAGGAGTTTGTGGACCGAACTGACTGATCTAAAATCCACCCTCCCATTCCTTCTTTGAAGTCACATCTAGATAAAAATCAAATGGATACAGGGGGAGAAGAAAGGCTTAAAGATAAATATGAATTAATTAACCAAAGTTGTAGTTATACTTGCCAAGGAAACTGGAGACTTTAGAGAAATTAACCAGGTTCCCAGTTGATTCTGTGGCTCACTTGGAACCATAGGGCACAGATTTATTTCGTAACCAACTGATTTTCTATTATAGCGAGAAGTGTGAGAAATAAATTTGGTAGTGGGGGCCCCAGGAAATGTGAATCATTAAATCACCAAAGGTCTCTTGGCTTTCTGATATTCTGCACTTTTCTGTTCATTTGGGAAGTCCTTCCTGACATCTAATTTCCATTCTGCCACCTGCAACCCAGTCTTTTCTTTTTCCATCTAGATGGAGTTCAGCAGGGCCTCCATTTATCTCATATCATTTACTCCTGTGCTCTAGGGTCTCCTTTTTTGGGAAGTCTTTAATGCTATCTAACCTTCATCCTGCTGCAGCCTTGTCAGGTTTCTTGAAGGAGGGGAGCATGGAACAGGGTTTGGAAGGAGGGAAGGACTAAAGCAAGAGAAGATGTGAGAGGTCAGAGAAAGTTACCAGACTGGAGATTAGGTGAGGGGAGGTCATTGGCAATAAATGGAAACTAGGGTTACAGACAAGAGAAGAAGGAGTAAAAGAGAGGTGACTAGAGCAATTGCAAGTTTGGACATCAGGAGGTTAAAGGATGCCAGAGATGGTGAGTTGAAGGCATTTGACAAAGGGGCACCAAGAAAGAAGGGTTATTTTTTTATTTGAGATCTTTTGACCTTGCTACATGTCTGGCTATAAATATATCTTTGGAATCTGCTCAGACTCAGCTCAGCAGTGGTAAATTTTTATTACTATGATAGATAGCATCATAGGATCATGGCTCTAAAGCTGGGAGATAGATAAATAGAGATGTCTATTTTCTCAAGGACCAGCCTGCTAAGTTCTGAGAGGTTCATCACAAGGTTGGCCATGGAGTGAAGCATTTTTTTCAGTCACAGAAATTCTCAAAAACTGTAAGATCATAGATTTGGAGCTGGGAAGGAATCTCAGAGACCATCTAGATCAACCTCTCAATTTACAGATGAGGAAACTGAGGTGCAGAGAAGTAAAGCGACTCACCATCTACTAAGGTTTAGAAGGGACAACCCTGAGTTGATAAAGAATCATTTCCTCATGGATGAAATCACAGATACTTAAGTAATGAAGTTTATAGGACCTAGGTTGTTGCTGTGAATCCTTAGTTCCCTCTTTAGGTTATATATTCTCTCATCATCCCTGGACAGGCCCTGTTCTCAGGAAGACAACAAAAGTCTGGGATTGTGAAGGCCCTGAGGCACTGAGGAAAGGAATAGGGCAGTGGTGAGGAACCTTCGGCCTCCAGGCCACATGTGGCTTTCTAGGTCCTCAGGTGTGGCCTTTCGACTGAGTCAAGTTTTATAGAACAAATCCTTTCATTAAGGGGATTTGTTCTGTGAAGTTTGAATTCAGTCAAAGGGCTGCACTTGAGGGCCTAGAAGGCCATATATAACCTAGAGGCTACAGGTTCCCCACCCCTGTAGTAGGGGGTCTGGGAATTCACCCCCAGCCTCAAACACCTATTGAGGATCACCTTAGAAAGGCAGAATAAAAGAATTGAGGGAGTAGAGTATATGTTTGTTTCTCTCTTGTATGTGTTTATCTGTGGGGAAAGGGGTGAATATGACCCTGAATATCAGGGTCCAGATGACTGTTATTGCATATTGACAGTGTGAGTGTGATTTTGGTAGGAAACTGTGTGTGAGATGTACTACGTGGTGTGAGGTGGGATGAGAGTGATTGTGGGCTGTATGTTATGTGAAATAATTATAATAGTTCACTTCTATGTAGCACTTTGAGGTTTATAAAACATTCTTCTCACAACACTGTGAGGTGGGTAACACAAGCAGTCTTATTACCCCAATTTTACAAATGCTACAACTGAAATACAGAGAGATCAAGAGATGAAGACTCTTGCCCCAAATTATACAACTAGTAACTGTTAGAGTAAAGTCTTGGGCCACTATCTTTTTTTTAAATTATTTTTTTCAATGAACAAAAATCCATTTCTCATACCCCCCACCATTGAAAAAGAAAAACAAAATCCTTGTAATAAATATACATAGTCAAGCAAAGTAAATTGCCCAGTTTAACTGGATTCTTCTGACATCACGTTCAATGATCTTTCCATTTCAGTTTGGAACTGCTCATGGCATACTATGTATAGTGATATTATTTCTGTGACTGTATAGTGTGTTAACTTTGTGACTATTTGATGGTGTGCTATCATTAAGGGACATCATGGTGTAATGGAAGGAATACTGTACCTGGAGAGAAATTCTGTCTTTGACACTTAACTAGCTGTGTGATCATGGGAAATCACTAAGTCTTAGTTTCTTTATCCATAAAATGGGGTTTATAATAATACCAATACTACTTACCTTATAGGGTTGTTTTAAGAAAATCATTTTGAAATGTTCTAAATTATTTAAATCATGTTAAAATGTGAGTTATTATTATACTCTGTGTGTGTGACTCCATCCCTCCCAGGGATTTGCTGTTTCCCATCAGGTTCAGGTTATACTAAACCAGTTGAGTTGGAGCCAGAGATCCTTATGGGAAACTTTCCATGGGATCAAGGATCAAAGCAGTACGTAGAGCCAGGTATCTCTCAGACACCTCCTCCCTCAGCCCAGCCTGATAGGTAAAGGAGACAGAAGCACCATGGAAAAGATTCTGCTCTTCTAGTTACCCCTGCTGGCTTTACACTCTTTCAAATCAGAAAGTTCTTCATACAGTTGAATCTCAATTACTCATACTACACTTTCTTCTCTCCTATTCTGTTCTTCAATCTCAACAATGACTAGCTAGTAGTTATCCCATCTACCACCAAATACTAGCCCTAGGTTAACACCTTCATTTTCTCATTTCAATCTCTTATCAAGTTCTGACCAATTCTGGGCCCCCATGGTAGGATGCTTATAGACCTGGAAGACCATATCTTCTACTTAAAATAGACTTGCCAGGCAGCCTCAAGCAAGTATAGGCAGGTATGTTTTTCTTTAAAAGAAAGGTCTTATATTATTTGCTATTGAACTGTATTCCTGAGAGTGAGGTAAAATAAGCATTCAAAAATTCAGGGGGTGGCATCTTCTCTTTGAGGACAAAAAATTGAGCCTCTAAGATTTTTAATGGTATTAAACACAATTTCACATTACCCACAACATTTCTATTTAATCTTCTTTGAAAAGTTTTCTCTTCATCAATTACCTGAATTTCTTATCTAAAATCACCACCTTTGATGGCTGACTCCACCATGAATAATTGGGGGCTGGGAGGAAAAAATTTTATGTGTCCTCCCCACACACAGACTTATACACCAGGAAAGGCTTTTAAAACCAACACAGAGAGGGAGATAGACATACAGAGAGGAGAAGACTTTGCGTTGGCTGGAGAAAATGAAAGAGAATGCATTTTGAGTATAGAAGATAGCAGAGTGTGGAAGATTGGATACAAAATGCCAGATATTAATCCCTTTGTCTTGGAAAAATCACATCACCTCCCTGGTGCCAGTCTAAAGATCTCAAAGCACTTAGTAGCATAAATATGCTTCATTGTTCCTTACCAGCCCTGAGAGTTCAGTGGAGTGTTCTTTAGAACACAAGAATGGAACAGCAGAGGATAGAGAAGACTAGCATCCTCAGCTGAAATGGATTAGTCCATGGGGAGGAGGAAAGAACCAGGAGAAAAGAATGTCTTTTAGCTAGAAGAAAGGAATTGGGGGTGCTTGGGATTTACCATTACTTTCTGCTATTAACAGACACTCTCCCCATTTGCGTAAAGCTTCAATTTGTGTATGGAAAAATGCAGCATGTAAATTAGGGAAGAGATAAGTAATGAGTGGATTGAATGGATAAATCTCAGGCAGATTTAGGCTACATGTGAGGAAAAACTTCCTAACAATCAGTCCTGTCTAAAAATCAAATGACCTGCCTGAAGAGAGTGGGATCCCCAGCTCTGGAGACCTTCCAGCAGAGACAGTAAGTATTATCAGCAGTTATGGGTAGTAGAGAATATCCCTGGTCAGGTAGGGTTAAGACTGGATAACCTTTAAGGTTACTTACAACTCTGAAATTCTTTGAAATATGATGTATGTGAATGGAAGTCCCAGATTTTTGCTTCTAAGTCACTGCATTTTTTAGAAATATGGTTCTTTGTGTGGAAGAACCAATTTGTGGTGTATTTAATAAAAGAAACAATTAAGGACCTAATCATAAACAATTGAACTGTTGTCCACCGCTAAATTCCTTGAGAAGTTATCTTAGCTCTACCACTGCCTAACCATTTCTTCCCACCCCTGGATGAGACTCAGAATCTGATGACAGAGCTAAAAGGTGATCTTGAAGACTATCTAGTGCATCTTGGTCATTTTACAAAAGAAAAAACCGGAGTCCAGAAAGTTAATTTGCTCTAAGCAAATAAATAAGTCAAAGACAAAAATAAGTCACACTGCTAGTGTCAGAGCTCAGACTCGAACCCTCCTCTTTTGATTCTAAGTCCAGATTCTTGGTGTTGAAACTCTGTCAGCACCCCTCTCTGTCAAAGCATCTTTCCTGAAGTATGTCTTGGATCCCTTCCATTTTACTTCCCCTTGTTACTAGGCTCTGAGCACTGGAACTCTGGGTATTCATGTTTCCATCTCCATCCCCATTACCATGGGGATGAATTGTTCTTTTTTACCATTTGATTCATTCCAATACTTGCTGATTCAAAAGATTTATACCTAGAAGCAGGGGAATGGATAGAATGGCTAACCAGCTGTATAACCTTAGGTAAGTCACTTCCCCTCTCGAATTCATTCTCATCTATCTGTAAAATGAAAGAATTGGATTAGATGATCCTGTAAGGCTCCCTTTCATACCTAATGTTTTATGACACTGACTTTTGACAAGTCTACTTCCTGCCAAAGCTAACCACCCCAAGGGATGAATGAATTCAAGTTGGATGAGTGCTTTGAGATTATTGGCTGAAGGGAGATAATTCTTTAAAAATTGTCATTCTTAGTGCTTTGAAATTAATGGAACAAGGGAAGGCTATGTAAGAAGAGGGTATGAAGGAAGAGAGGGGGCTCCCACTCCACTCTCTCTCCTAGGCCTCAGAATGTCCCCTTCCCCTCCTCCCCCAGTCCTAATCCCCACTATTAAGACGGCTTTGGGTTTGTTATGACAGCAGCTGAAGGCAGCTGAATCGATGTGTTTGCTGTGTTTGCTAATTGGGCTGAAGGACTCCAGTCTGGACACTCTGAAAGGGATCATTGTCACTACTGTATTTACCTTCCTTTAGGAACCTCTAGGGGTGAAGGCTGTTGCTGAGCCCCAGCAGGGTCATTGCACCCATTCCCTTGCCTTCCTGCTAGGGACCTACATGGGAAGACGGCCCAATTTTATTGCTGCTGATGGAGCAAGTGCTCACAACCTACTGGTTATGACCCACAGAGAATGCAGTCTTCCACCTTGGATGATCCACAGATCTGGATCAGGCTATCTGAACAGATCCTATTTAGGGAGAAGTTTAAAAGTGAGGGAGAGACAGAGCTTGGGTACCTCAGTTTTTATTGTTTTACTTCCTCATGATATGATTTCATTTTACGCCCCCCCCTTTAGACTCTGCTATAGGATGACAAACTTGTAGTTATCCTCTGTCCACTCTCATATTTTCTTAGCTTCAAATCTTCATCCAGGAAAATTACTTTCCTTGAGACACTCTTCAATACCTATCCTCCCTTCCAAAACCTGGTCCATAAAATCCCTCAGTTCCTCCAGGAAGGATTCACAGCCCCAGTTACCCTAGTACTTTATGGCTCTAGTTCCATCAGGGTGAATTTTCTTCGTTCTTTTTTTTTCCTTTCTCTGTGTTTGTCTACCTGCCTCTATCTCATGTCCATTATTCAATTTTGTTTGTAGCCATAAAATTTAAAACTAGAAGGGACTTTAGAGATCTGTTTTCTGGAAGTAGTAGTAGTGGTTATATGTCCTGTTTTCCTCAGCAGACTGGAGAGGGCAAGTACTGTGTTTCCCTCATTAAACTTGGAGCTTCCCGAAGGAAGAAGCTGTCTTCCTGATCAATCAAGGAGATTCTCTTCCCTCCTCATCTTAAAATAGAGCCAAAAATAAAACTACCAATAGGGAGTGAACAGGGACCCATGGGCAAATTGGAATGGTGATTATTTATATTGGGAGGGGAAGCTTGTGGTCCTGTCTCCCTACTAACTAGGTCAATGTTAGAGAGAAAACATGGAGAATTACTTGTCTCCTTTCCCTCAGCCCTTGCCTGTTACAAATACCTTTGTTCTTTCCCTCTCTCTAGCTTCCTACTTGATTTAGCCTTGGCATTCCTCTTCCTTCTCTTCATTCTGCTGCACAATCTCTGGATCAGGATTCAGCACTTTGGACAGCACTGGGCTGGTGAGTCCATGGACTGTGGAGTTGATGGGGAGAGCAAGGGTGGGAGGATAATGTCTCTATTTAATCAAAGGTCAAAACCTTAAATTTCTGGATCTGAGAAAAGTATTTTGTAGCCAATGTTGATTTCTCTTGGACATTTTAGCCTTGGAAGGGGTTTTAAAGATCTAAGTCGTTGAGACTACAAATAGGATGTTCTATCTCCCCTTCCAGGGTAAGAGAGGATTCTTGCTCAAGTACTTAGGTGTTCAACTTGGTCTCTCAATTAAAGTCAGTTTTGAGATTTTGTGATTCTACAATTCTATGCAAATAAGGTTTAGGGGGTGTTGTCATTCTTAGTGCTAGAGAACCAGGTCCCATGTAAGGGAAGTGTACGAAGTAGGACTTAGAATGAAAAAAAAAAATGAGTTAATGGGGTTATATTGGGGAAGCTTTTTTTTTCCAGGAGTGTGAGACTCTGGGATCATAGATTTTTAGGGACATAAGTGACTTTAGATATCATTTAGTCCACTCCTTCATTCTAGAGGTGAAATAACCGACACTTAGAGAATGGACGTGATTTGACAAAGGCCACACAGTAGATTAGCATTATAGCCATTACTAGAACCCAGGATTCCCAACATAGAGCAGAGATTTTCCTCTGCTCTACACTGTAGAGCACCCCTTTGGGGTGATCTCCTTTCTTGGGAACCAATCAATTCAGTAGTTCCCTCTGGCATTGGGATATGGGAAGGCAGTCTTGCCCCAGACAAGTAGACCTTTCAAAGGGCCCACACACACACCTTTTCAAAGGGGACTCTGTGTGTGTGTGTGTGTGTGTGTGTGTGAGTGAGAGAGAGGGAGAGAGAGAGAGAGAGAGAGAGAGAGAGAGAGAGAGAGAGAGAGAGAGAGAGAGAGAGAGAATATTTTAATTCAATTCACAAATATGTATTAAGTGTAGCTAGTCAAGGAGTAAGGCACTGAGTATGCAAAGATGGATATGACAGAGACCCTGCTCCCACAAAGCTTACAATATCAATATCTAGAACTATTTTTTTCCATGACAGAAGTAAAAAATCAGAATTTGATGATCATTACAATGGGAAAGATGGAGGTGAAACTTTCTAAGAGTGGAGAACAGGGCAGGGGAACCGCAGAATCTTTTTCCCATGGAGTTTCTAAGAGTTTCCTCTTCCCAAGGAGAACAATATTGTGACATGGCAGAGCTTGGAGGCAGGGGGACTGCCAGGGAGGTTCCAATGGATTTTCTGATGAGCAAAGGATGCCAGGGTGGGGGTGGAGGGGGTCACCCAGGCTGGAATAGAGCCGAGGGGAGGCCTCTGTGTGTGCCTGGGCCTGCCTGACCTCCCTCCCCCTTCCACCTCAAGCCAAGAAACAAAGGACCATTCTCTCCAGGATTTGACGCAGCCGTCTCCGGCTGGCAGTGCCAGGTGGTGGGGTGGCATTCCCTCCTCCCCCGGAACTCCATGCCCATGTCCTCTGGGGGAATAAGGAGCTGGGCATTCCATGCCCTATTGCCATGGCAGCCCTCCCATACACAAAGAGAGAAAACTCCCACCCCCCTCACACACCATTCCATCCCACGGGAGAATTGGGCCTGACTAGAATCCTCCAATGGAAATCAAGAGCTTCTAGCTACCATATTTCCTGATATATGAGATATGATCATACATAAACTGCACTCTCCAATAAAATCAAGAGGTTGTATGCCTCCCTGACCACGTTCCCCTATTCAGTCCCCTATTCACACAGATGCTTAACCTTAGAGGAAAGGCCTTATGCCATTCCAAACCCCTTCTCTGTGTGAACAGCTCCCCATCCTCAGCACTTAGCCCCAAGTACAGACCCCTGGGGCCTTCTCCACTGAGGGGCTGAGGCCTAAACTTCATATTCCCCAGACATGGTGGACACCTTATTTTTAAAAAAGGGGGGGAGCTGTGGGAAAGGAGAAGAGGAGGCCATTTCCCCACCCTCCATCTGCACCCACCGCCATCACTCATTAGGCATTCTGCCCCCTCCTTCCGCTCGTTAAGCCTGATTTGCATGTATTTGCATAATGAACCTCATTTGCATTCCAGGAGGCTCATAGTGGGAGCCAGAAAAGGGGGGGGGGTTGTATCGAAGAGAAAAAAGGGGAGAGATTTTGTTTTATAAAAGCTGAGGGGGGAGCAGGCAGGGAGAACAACTCACACTACTGTCTTTCTTCCCTCCCTCCCTCTGATGGACACAAACACCAAATAGAGATGCCAAGGGACTGACTTTGTTCTCCCTTTTTGTCCCCCCCCCCCCCGTAGCCCTGGCTTCACTGTTGCCCTCCCACCCTGATGGGTGCAGAGCTGGGGAAGAAATGGGCAGGAATAGTAGGCTAGAGGTCTTTTGGGAAGGAAAGGAGATAGGAGAGAAGACATAGGCAGAAGGCCACCATCTTAGACAGCTGGTGTCTATAAAATGGCCGACTGTGAGTGGGTGTGGGTCTCTAAGGAGGCTCTGGTTTTCAACCTAATGGATGCAGGTAGGACAATGAGAAGGACCTTCTGGAAAACCCTGAAGTGAGGGAATTTTTGACAATACTTCTGACTGAAGAATTATAAAAAGAAAATGGGGAGAAAAAGAAGAAAGACTCCAGGAGCAAGGAGAGGGGTAGGAGAGGGGCTGGGAAGCTAGGACTTAGAGAAGAGAGACTGAGAGTATTCTCCATCTGGACGAAGCAAGGGATAGACAAACCTACTGTTTCACACTGCATTTGATTGCCAAGACCATTGAATGTCCACTCTTACAAGAGTTAATGAGACATTTGGGTCATTTAATACCATTACTTTATAGCTAAGAGAACTTTGGATACCCTAGGGGCTGGTGGTTTGATTGTAGCATGTGGTCTGGATGTAGCATGTAGTCAGGGTCTATCTTATACTGGGGAGAGAACCACAGAAGAGGACCAAGGGGAGTTTCCAATCTGATAGGGAAATCAGAATACCTTTTTCCATTTTCCCCAATTCCAGAACACAGTAAGAAAGACACAAAGGCTAGGGCATTCCATCTGGCCAGTCAGAGCTCTATACATCAGTGTTGTAGGTGTGGATGACTGAGGAGGGATTTGGAAGAATAGACCCAAGAAAAGACTTCCTGGAAGACAAGAGTATCTTTGGGAGGATAGGGAGAGATGAAGCTGGGAAAGACAAGTGAGGAAGCAGGAAGACAGTGATCCAGACCATGTGAAGCTATGACACAGGAATGGTAGAAGCGTGGTATGGGCACAGGTGATCTTGTGTCTTGTTAAGCACAAGATGTGCTTAACAAATGTGGAATTGAATTGAATAGGAGAGAAACTGGTATTGAATACCCATATTGTGAACTGAGGATGGTCTAGGAAGGATAGTGAGGGGTATGGGATAAGCAGAAGTGAGGACAAAGGTGACTGAAGTCTCAAGGTGGGGTGACTGCCAAAATTCTTCAATGAGTAGTCAGTCTACTCATCACTGCCTCCATCTCCTCACAACTTTTGGACCCCCCTGAAATCTCCTACCACTGTGCTGAACTTACTCATTTTAAAGTCACTACTAACCTCCTAATTGCCAAATATAGGTGCCTTTCCTAGTCTTCATCCTTGATTTGCAACTTTAATACTATTCACCACTCTCTCTTTTCTGAAAGCTTTCAGTGATGTTGCCCTATCATGAGATTCCTCCTACCTCTCTGACTGATCCTCTGGCTCCTTTGTGGCACTTCTCCCCTGCCATCCCTTAAGTGTCTCTATCCCTTGAAGCCTCTCTGTCCCTGATACTCTTCTTTTGCCTCAGTACACTCTCCTTTGGCAACCTTAATAACCTCTATGGTTTCAACAACCACCGCTATGTTAATGACCTCTCCTGAGTACCAGACCTACGTCTCCACCTGCTATCTCCACAGAGATGTCAATTTAGAATTTCCAGTTCAATATGTTCACAACATAGTATTTTAGCCTTTCTTTGAAATCAGATTTCCTTCCTAACTTCCCCTACCATATCAATACCACAACCATTTGATGTGTTATCCAGACTTGAAACCTCAATTGACTTGACTTCCTCTTTCTTCCTTGGACTCTAAGCAGCTACCAAGCCCCATGAACTGCTTTTGTATCCCATTTCCTCTTTTTTTAAAAAAAAATTATTGACGCATTTTGTCTTTATATCATGTTTCATTCCAAATATATCCCCTTTCCCTCTCCCACCCAGAGAACCACCCCTGTAACAAAGATTTTAAAAGGAAGAGGAAGAAAAAAAAGCAATTAAGTAAAGCCATCACATCAGCTTCACATCAGCTCTCACCTTGTGTGCGATATTTCACATCTATGGTCCTCTACCTCTGAAAAACAAGGAGCAGGTACATTTCCTCAATCCTTCTCTGGGACCTACCTTCATCACTATAACTACAGAACATTCCATTTTGCATTTCTTTTGTCTATTCCATTTACATTTACTATGGTCACTTGTATATTGTTTTCCTAGTTCTGCTGACTAAAAGCTGCTTTAATTTATGTCTTCTCATGCTTCTCTGAGCTCTTCATAGCCATCTTATGGAGAAGTGATGCTCTATTATACTCAGGAAACCACAATTTGCTTGGCTATGCTACAACAGATGAGCATCTACTTTGTTTGCCTTTGCTACCTCAAAAAGTACTGTCATAAATATTTTGGTGTCCATCCCTTCTTTTCTACCATCACTTTCATCATGCTAACCTTCCTCATCACTTCTCCCTTCAACTATTATAATGACTTCCCTACTTACCTCCTTGCCTCTAGTCTCTTCCCCTACCAATCATTTTACAGAGACTATCAGAGTTATTTTCCCTAAGTGTCACCTTCATCAGGTCGTTCTCCTGCTCAGGGATCACAGATTTAAGTTCAGATTCCTTAGTGTGGCATTCTAGGTCCTCCATAGTCTGTCCCCAATCTTTATTTCCAATTTTCTTTCTTATGAAGCCTATGTTCCAGAAAGACCAGTCTACCCAGTCCAATTCAGTTCAA